ATTGGGACCTGGGACTTTTATTATTTAACACTAAGTGATTGCAGGAATCAGATCCTCGCAGGGCTGTGACTGGACCTAGGACCATATGATACATGAGATATTGTACCATTGTGGTTTTCCCCAAAGTGACTGTTCAGCTTTCCATCTACCCGGCGTTGTTTAGAGAGGAATATTGGTGAGAATCCAGAGTGGAAATGTCCCACTACTCCACAGCTAACCTTTGAATGTTGTGAAAGCTTCATAATCTCTGCCTGCTCTACAGGGAATCCATATCCAGCTTTATGCTGGCTTTACACAAAATAAGACTGGCCCTCAGACTAGACATGTGCAGATGGTTAGTATGCTTGGGTAGGGTAATTCCTTCTATTCACGTGCATGTTTCCCTATTCACCTGGAATTTGCTGTCTGAAGGAAAACATTTAGGTGAGCATTCTCTGAAAAATTAGAAGACACTTGACAGGTAATGGTGTACCTTAAACCTTAGCAGGATTCCTTCTCACAGCCCTGGGGTGTTTTGGAAGGAAGCATGGCCAAGCAACCATAGTTGGGGACCTGGGGAGGGTCCCGTGGGAATTTAGGCTGCTGAGGACAGATCTGCTGCTGATACAGATGCCTTCATTTTCTTTCCATTTTTCCTGGAGAATCAGGTGGGAAAATCAGGTGGGGAAGCAAGATGTTACAGGGAGGTTACCAAGGTGTCCCTAGTAGAAGCAGTGGCTTAGGGCTTGACACATTTGTGTTCCTGGGCAAGTCACTTCCACTCTCTGAGGCTTGGTTTTCTCATGGGTTATGCTGAAATCAGAGAACTTTGAGTGAACCAAATGAGCTGATGAATTTGAAAGTACATATTTGTAAGGAGGGCTTTATAAATAGCCTCAGGCATAAAACAGAAATAATGCTACCTTGCTGTGGAGGCTCGTGATTTAAAGTGAGTCTGTACCTGGTATAACCAAACTGCAGGGAGCCAGGTTTTTGTTACCTGTTCCTCCTTGGTCCTTTGCTTGACTTTTCTTCAACAGGAGAATTGAGGTCATCTGGAAAATTTCCAGTCAGCAGGGAGTGTTTCCCTACTGAGCTGTTCTGTAAGACTAAACTCAGCTGTCTGTCTGTCAAACCTCAGGCACTTTTGACTCATCAAATCAGAAATAAATAATATGCCTCTTTTGACTCAAATCTAGTGTCTTTAAAGTGGAAAACATGTATTACCCTGTACGTGGGAATGAATACTGTGTTTACAGATATAGGTCAGTGTGACTGTACTAATAGGTAAGGCCAAAAAAAAAAAAAATCTCCATCTAAACAGAACAGAGAACAAAGAACATGCACATCAGATATAATTATCTGAGTTTCACTGTGTTTACAGATATAGGTCAGTGTGACTGTACTAATAGGTAAGGCCAAAAAAAAAAAAAAAAAATTCTCCATCTAAACAGAACAGAGAACAAAGAACATGCACATCAGATATAATTATCTGAGTTTCGGTGATGGACATTATCATTGTGGCCTCCTTGTTTATAATACCAGCGGTTCTCCTGGTTCTACTTGTCTATTAAATAAGCAAAATGTTATTGACCACTCATCATTATAAGTTTGATAGTTCATTAAAAAGCAAATAATGCTATCTTATAAAGAACTGAGGCTTGTTTAGCACCTCCTAAAAATTTCCAGACCTCCTAAAAATTTCCAGGTATGCCCTAAATTTCTATAGATAATATTTAAAATGTATTAGTTTGCTTGAATAATCTTCAGATTACTATTGGCAGTTGCTTCCTAATGTACAAAACATAGGCATACATCAACCATTTCTGTACCTTACCCCAATATACCCTACCTGAGGTCATTTTTGAAATATAGTAAGGATATAAACAAATAAATATGATTAAAATATATATAAATCTGTGGAGAAATCTGCTTGAGAGAACAGAGTCTTCACACAACAAGAACCTACTTTTCATTGACTAGTAAACAGAAACCCAAATAAATTTCGTTTCCTTCATTCCAATCTTCTGAAATTGGGTATGCACTTATTTTTGTTTGTTTAATGTAAAGTAGCTTTTCTTCAATTTTTCTTCTGTTCTGGAATTTGTTTCTAATAGATATGCTAACTCCCCCTGGGAGTTTATAAATGCTACTATTCTGTTCCTTGTTATTTGCTTACCATTAGCATTTTGTTTCCTACCTTGGAGAAGAGGAAGAATTCTTCCTCACAGTCTCTTACTTCCCAAGATATCAAATATATATTGATTTTTTAAAACGAGAGATTAATTAGGAAATAAAGAGGGAGGGGGAGAATTAACATTAACAATTATTATTATATAATTGGTCATTTGCTATTTTATGTTCACATTTAAAGGAGTATGTTAAGGTAAGAACTTATTATAATAATAAATACTTTGGAAGAAGGACTGGGACAGTTATATCACAGAGACAGGTAGTGAATGAAACACCAGTTGGGGCATACTTAAATGCCCCTACAAGCTGAGGACCATCTTGCGTTTCCCTTGTTGGGCCTGGCCCAGTGATGATGCCTATACACACGATATAAATTCATAACGAACACATATAACTGTGGTGTTGGGAAGATGAGCCATCTGCCCCTACAAGCTGAGGACCGTCTTGCGTTTCCCTTGTTGGGCCTGGCCCAGTGATGATGCTTATACACACGATATAAATTCATAACGAACACATATAACTGTGGTGTTGGGAAGATGAGCCATGGGCCAAGGAACTGAACCTCCAGGCCAGCCCCGAGGATTCAGAAGTCTCTTGCTTCTTCATCTATAAATTGGGGTATTAATGTCAGTTTTTACAGACTTAAATATCTTAAATGTAATGTCACACAGAACCCTGCACATCAGAAAGGGAAGAGGAGAGGAGCACCTGTAGTTGGAGGGCAGGGAGCAGACCTCAGCCTCCCCCCTTGCCTTCTCTCCTTCTCCAACATAGCTCTGGGGGGGAAAAAAAGCAACTAGTGTGTCCAGATATCTGCAAGATACCTGTCAACCTGGGCTTCCAGGGATATAAACTTAGATTTCAGTGATATCTTTTTAAATGAGAATTAGTGAACATTTTACTCAGGAGTATATTTTAATATACTGAGGAAATGAGAATAAAAACTTACCATATTCATTGAAAATCTATTTAATATATGCTAATCATCAGAAATATTAGAATTAAATCTTGCTTCTGTGTTCTTCAAACCGTTTACCTGACTCACAGCTACACATACATTTTATGTTATAACCTAGTACATACACACATACAGATACCAGAAAATGTTTTGCCAAACAGTTCTTATCCTTACTATAAGCAGCTCACCCTATTTTCTACTTTATTTATTTAGAAAATTTCTGGTTGCAACCCTTGAAGTTGATTTCGTGTCCCCTAATGGGTCATTGAAATTCAACCATTGTCATAGACCTGAAAAGAGAATTTTCTGTAGGTTGCAGGTTTGTGTATCCCCAGCTGGTGGTGAGGGCTGTTGTACACTCTTGTTTCTTCCTCATGTTCATGCTGCCTCCTCAGCAAGTGTGTATGGTTGATATGATCATTAGATTTGCTACCCAGGAATTTCTTCCACTGAGGGGAAAAAACCTTTAGGGTTAAAAAAAAAAAAAACAAACCCTGACCACGGTGCTGGTTACTACCAGAGACTAAAGGTATCCTCTTGTGGCAGCAGACATACTCCACACGTATAGGATTATTTGTGGACTATTTGTGTTTGGGCTGACCAAAGATTCTGAATTTGGCTTGTTAGATTCCCCACATTCTGTAAAACACAAGGAAAATTCATAACACCCCAAAATCTGAATTCAAATCTTACAACTCAGGAAAGATATAGGTTTGTTAACTAAAACTCATTAATGAATACCTGAATATGGAATACTAGGAACAAATACAGAATTTCATTGGATGAAGCTATTTCTTTACCCTATCCCCTCAACCTTGAAAGCATAGAACAGATAAACAAGAAGAAAAAATTCACCCACAATACCATCATCCAGAGGCTACCACTGTTCATATCCTTGTATGGGCCTTTATTACCCTAGTTTTACGTAGTTGTGATGTTTATAAACAACTTGGGTTCTGTTTTATCATTTAAGATTTAAAAAGAAATATTTCATCATGTGGTTAAAATTTTCCTAAACAGCATTAGTAACAGCCAAATAATACTGTGTCCCATTGTGTGGATTTTCATTTACCTAACTAATCTACTCATGTTGGGCATGTAAATGGTTTATAGTTTTTCCACTGTTATAAACAATGCGATGCACATCTTTGTACATGAAAAGCTTTTCTGAATTTGGAATATTTCCTTAGGAAAAATTCTCAGAAGTGGAACCATTGGGTAGAAAGTAGTTGGACTATGTTATCAGATCCCCAGCCAAGCCTGAGAGGGTCAGCTTTTCCATTTGCTGGAGTCTGAGTTTTGGAAGCCTTGTTGAGTTGGAGGTACAGACACTGGGATCTCCCAACAAATCAGAAACTTTGCAAGCCACACATAAAGCAGATGCCGGAGTTTCTTTCAGATTCTCTTTGCCCTTGAATGGACATAATGTAGTCACTGATGGAAGAAAAATTTGCTCTGAAAAAAACCTTGTATGCAGACACTTATTTTTAGGGGATGGGTGTGGGGCAATTTAAATAATCATTTCAATTTCATTTTTAGTTTTATTGGTTTGGACTCTGTGTTCCATTCAGCTCATTATAAATAAAATGCTTATTAATGTATTTCTGTATTTTCAACAAAAGAAAATTTGATATTAAGTTCACATGGTTGTACAGAGTTTCACTAAAATAGTTTTATTTTGTATTTTTATGTACATTTTACAAATAACTTCCTAGTCCTCCCTCTCCAATTCTGATATGTTTTATTAAATTGGCACTTCTGCATCTTTGGAAATATTAATTTCCAACAGAGATTTATTTTAGACATTAAATATTTAGTCATGGTGTCAAGATTGGTCCTGATAAATTTGGTTTTTCTTTCCTTGATATAGATTATTCTTCATTCTATGCACAAATACCAACCTCGAGTGCATGTCATCCGTAAAGACTGTGGAGATGATCTTTCTCCCATCAAGGCTGTTCCATCTGGGGAAGGAGTAAAGGCATTCTGCTTTCCGGAAACTGTCTTCACAACTGTCACGGCTTATCAGAATCAGCAGGTATTGTTCTCAGAATTGGTATCTTTTTAGATTTTCAATTTCAGGTGTAAATAGGAAGCTAGCTATTGTTTTCCCAGTATCTAAAATTATGAATTATCATAAAGCATTTACCATTTGTGACACCCAAGGTGTGTGTGTGTGTGTATATGAATATATGTATATGTATAGACATTTATATATATGTATGTCTATGTGTATATACACATGCAATAATAACAATTATTTTCCCGTGATTCCTCAAGTTAAGGCAACTCTAGTGAGGACTTCTTTAGATAAGAACATGTCTTCTGACTTACACTATAGGTCTACTTTCTATTTTGAGATATTGAATCATGATGTGATATTTAAAATTAGAAAGCTTGTTTACTGCCTAGGAAATAGACATGTAAAATATGAAAAGTGAATTGTATTTTAGAGCGTGGGATTTGGTAGTTCACTTTATTTTAAAATACAGCCCATGAATTATGAGAAATATTTCAGAAGCAATTATCCTATATAGTTATTTTGATTTTTCTTTCAAGATATGCTTTAATTGTGATAGAAGGTGATGTACACACTTATAGTCTGAGAGATTAACAATTGTGGAATAATCATTTCATAAAGTTAGAAATAATTTAAGAAATGAAATATTTCTTTTCTGTATGGATAAACGTATATATTTCCTAAAGTCTGTGTCTCACGTAGGTAGAGAATGGAATTGGAGGCAAATATTTAATATGTGCGATTCCAGCCAGTTTTCATAAAAAATAGTTATGTAAGTGAGGTTGATGTGGTCTGTGGTAGATTTTTTTTTTTTTTATTTCAGTGGTCAGCAGAATTGGTTGAGGTCTTCACCTCTCTTTACATTTATATAAATCTCAGTTAAAAATTTAAGGCTTCATAATCTCTCTGTTGTGGTTTCTGTTGTTGTAAAGCTTCTTAGGAGATTTGGATCCCATCCCATGTTTTCTCCTTTAAGGCTGCGAGCCTCAACAGCTCTCATCTGGGTGGAGACACCAGTCCCACAACCGAAGTTGTCCTGTCCTCTCACATGCACATTGCCATTCTTTAAACTTTAGCACGTCTAGAGATAATTAGGAAGCTATTCTTAAAATACATTAGGAGCAGAATATGATTTTTTTAGGGAAAAATTAATGCATAAGGAAAAGATAGCAGAGGCATTTAGGACCCTTTTATCAACCGCGGTTCACCTTCTCTCTTTCTGAACACAAATTAAATGTGCTCTGTGTTTTTTCTCCCGGCCTCTGTGGTACAGTAAGTGTGATGCGGTGGGCTTTTGGCACATGCATGTTGGTGACTAATACCAATAGGCAAACATTGACAAGATGATTAAGAAGGTGGAAAAATTAGAAGCAAAACTGATGATAATAAAATGCATTCACGTTCACTTTTTTAATTTCACAGCTACTATTTTTAGAACTTACAGAAAATTGGTAAGCAGACTAGACTAGTGGTTAACAGCATGGACTCCACAGCCTGGGGTCCTAGCCCATTTCTCCTGGCCAGTAACTATATGATCTTAGGAAAGTTACTTAAGCCTTAGTTTAAACAGAAACATAAAATTGGGATAATAGCTATGTATAAGTTGCTTTGATAATTAAATGAGTAGTATGCATAAAACAGCACAGCGCTCAATCAAGTGGTGACGTTAGTAATAAAAATAATTATAATAGTTGTGATCTATTTCTGTTTATACAAGACACATTATATAAATCTATTCTGTATTTTAAAATGATATTTTAAATGAACATTTAAATTATTTAATGCTATTTAAACATTATTGAAAGGAGTAGAGAATTGAGCTGTAATAATCTGTAAAGAATTCCTTCAGTGACAGGATGGCAGACATAGTGAATTAATTAGCAAACCCTTTCATTATATCATTTATAATGTAATTGTATCCACATACTAAGACAGCATCCTATGGAGCACTGTTTTAAGTGTTGCACAGTGATCGGAGGATGGCTGACAGCATGCACAGGCAATATAGGGAACTGCAGATGACTTTCCAAAGATGCCTTTCTTTGCCCTAGTGTTATCCAACAGTTTTCATCCTTAGCTAGGATGGTAAAATCAGATGTTCATTTACTTTGTAGATTTCATTAAGCTAAGGAATTTAGCAAGCAAAGCATGATATGCCTCTTAGAAAATAGGCTGTAAATTCCTCTGGGCAAAGTGGAGATTTGGTAAGAAACAGATGGGATGTTACTTATTAGTGTCTAGTTCAAGATGGCGAAACTAAAACAACAAAAAAATTTTAGTAGAGATGATTAGACCATTTGTAAAGATTTCTCCCCCAAATCTTGGGGTCTTAGTGGGCAAGAAGCTGATCAGGAGTCAGCAAATTAGAACTCTAATTAAAATTAAAACATTATCTGTAGGAACCATGTTACTGTCTATATGTATCCCATAACATTGTGTTGTAGACCTTAAATATAACACAATAAAATTTATTAAAAAAATAAGACATTATTTATTTCTACTACATGTATAAGAAGACTTAACGCCATTAGAACCTTCAAGTAGTGGTTTCTTCTGGACAGACATTTACTATAGTGCTCTGACAAGGTTAGGAGTCTACAGATAAAAGACAAAAAGAATAAAACTCAGATGAGAGTTACAAAGAAGATTAAAGGAGAGACAAATAAAAATACAGAGGCAGAAAATTAAAGGAATGTGTATATTACCTAATTCCGAAGAAGAGAAGGCTGATTAGGAGCTTAACAACATTCAAGCATATAAATGGCTAGGTGAAGGTTAGGCAGTAGTTTTTCCCCATCTTGTTGGTCTATTTCAAGAGAAACAGGATTAAACCATGTCACAGAGTTAAAGGGAAGAAGTTCAGAGAGGATAGTCACACATAGGGCAGGTTATCAACGGACAATTCAGCATCTCACTTCTTCAGGAATATTTAAAGCAAAACAAACTTTCACCTATTTATGGAGAATGAAAAGGAGTGGGGAAGTATCTTTTTCATAGCAGGTAAATGTTATAGATGATTTCCAAAATTTTCTTTTAGCTTTACTGATAGGTTATTAAAATACCTGGGGAATGTGAGAGGGGAACACAAAAGAATCCTCTCACAGTTAATTTTTGAATCATTTATAGTTCTGCATTGCATATAAAATTGGATGTAATTTTTTTCTACTCTACAGATTACTCGCCTGAAGATAGATAGGAATCCATTTGCCAAAGGCTTCCGAGACTCTGGGCGTAACAGGTAGGTCTTGGTGAAGAACATTCTAGTTGTAATAAATATATTTGATTTTTTATTGCGAGTTTTCCATTAAAAAGTAATTGGTTAAATTTACTGACATGGTATTGAAATCATTTCTGATGAGGATTTAAATTTCTTAATACTATTGTGCCTCGGGGGTAACTTATTTTTGGAGTGTAATGGTGTGGCCTGCCCTGGGGTGAAATTTCATACGTGATGCTGAGGTGAAGATGCAAGCTCTTGGTGTACGTTGCATGTTGTTTCTGAAGGGGCCTTGAAGAAGCCTGCTCTTACAGGCCCAGGGGCCTCAATATTCCAAGTAAATATCTTCTGGTTTAGAATTTCCTTAGCAGTGACACAACTATCTATTGATTCTGTCTGTGGAGTATGATAGGGCCCCTTGTTAACTAAGATTTCCAGCTGGAATATGAAACTACTCCCTATTGCCAAAGAGCTGATGTTCTTTAGTTTCCAAATTTGTCTTGGCTCTGCTGACAGCCACACAGTTGTTTATTTTTTCTGTGTTGTGTTTTACAGTGTTTGTACTAAGTGGGAGAGCTACAATAATGAATTCCATTTTGTAACTTTTATCAAAAAGCAGATCACCTAGTCTGTTTGCCAAGAGTTTTTGAATGTATTGATATGATTTCAATACAGTTCAGTGCAACATTTTCTAAAATAACTGTTAGTAGTAACAGAGAGTAATAATAGACTAAAATTCCCCAAGTGCCTTTTCTGAATAATGCTTTGACTGAAATGTTTTTAAAAGCATCTTGCTGGCAGAGACTTTATGTTATCTCTATGTGCAGTGGCATCATGTAAACGCCATGCAGTGTGAGGACTGAGATGCAACTAAAATGTACTGAGAGTACAGTAGCCTTCAACTTAGAGCAGGTGAATCAACAAGGCTTACTAATGGCAGGGCTTCTGTCTGAAATTCTTCACTCCACAGGAAGGTTTGCAGATATTCCTAATACATAAAAGTTGTCCACTGTATTGAAATTATTTTATGTCTTTTTAGATGTCTGTTTCAATGTGGAGAAAAAAAAATTGCTTGGCTTTTGTTATATTAGTTCCTGGTTAACCTTGCTTTTCAGAGGAGTTTCTGAAAGTTGAATGCAAACTGAACCATAATTTAGTAACCTCAGATAGTCACTCACTGAATTTCAAAGGGAACCTTTGGGGTGACTCATTTTCTACCTTGACAAATGCTTTGATGGAATCTTTTTGTGATTTTAGATATAGCAGAATAGTATTTATCCATTTAAGAGTCTTATGTTACTTTCAGTTCTTTTTTTTTTTTTAAGTAGAAAAGGAGTGTATTAAAGCTCACTGAAACTCCAGGAGGGGCAGCCCTTAGGCTTGGAGAATATACAACCAGGAACTATGTCCAAGTCTCTCATAAAGACCTTACTGCTAACGACAGAGGGGGTCACACTACTTATACTTCGTCAGTTCATTTTTGAAGCAATAAATTAAAAAATGTTTTCCAAGTATATTTTTGATAGATAATAATAGTGAATGAACCTCCTATAAGAAGTGAGATGATAGATACATATGACCTGTTTCCAGGAAAAATTCTAGGTATGTCTGCATAATGACAAGTATTTGGTTAAATTTTATCAGTGAAAAAAAATCAGTGGCATTGGTGGCATAAACTACTAAGCCTGTTGTTTGGTGTGGTGACATCAAAGTGCTGGGTTCAATATGGATTTTTCCTTCTTTGGCTGTTTCAGGAGTATGTAGGCAAGACATCCATGGTGCTTGCTATTATCTGTCCCTGACTCTAAAACTTTTAAAGTTTTAATGGATATACAGAAAATATTGAAATTAATGGATTATGTTTTAACACTCTTAAAATTTTGTTAAAATTAAAATTTTTATTTTGCTCCAAGTGTTTAAACAATATCTTAGTACAGGTAAAGCATGTTGAGCCTATTTATAGCTTTCTTGCTAGTGAAATAGTTTTAACTTTTTTTCTCACAGAAATTACTTATCTTACTTATCATAGATAAGCTCTTCACTGCTCACTTTGGAATGCCAAATATCTATAAATCAGTATTCCCCCTGTAAAAGATCTGATTTTAACATTTTCCATTAACATGCAAAATACACTTATATGGAAAAGAGAGAATTTGTCAGCTTTAAACATTTCTAAATTATTTATTAGTTTCCTTTAGAAAAAATGAGCCTAAGTTATGTGTAAGACTTGGTAGAGGCACAGTGGTTTGGGGGACATAGTGAGGGCATGTGATATTTTTTCATATATTAATAGAGAAGAAAGCCCATGAAAAAAGTTCAATATATTCTTTTTATTACCCCCGCTTATGCTGTATTGTTATTTTTGCTTTTTAAAACAAATTCTATTTTTATTTTCCCCCTTTATGAAATAAGCAAATTGAGTAAGACAAGAAATAAACACAGACTTTGGTTATTTAAACTTTATAAAACAATTTGCTTTAATTAAAAATTATCCTTTCCTGGTTATTAACGGCTCCACAGCCTATTTTACAGGAATCAGTAGCTTCAGCCCTTAAAAGCTCTCCTGCAAGACATTTGGTACGTGAGAGAGAATTTATGTGCTGAGAATAGTTTCATTCTTCAGTTAGGCCTTAGGTTTGACCCTATAAAATTTTTTACTCAGGAAGGTACAAAAATTTCTTCTTTTTAAATACTTCAGGAAAAACATAACCATTTTACTAAACAAACTTGGCCATTTGATAGCATAAATTAGGGTGGTGATAAAATGTGGAAATTGTTCAGAGGCATCTTGTATAAATTATCGCCTTGGCTACATTCCTGCAGGAGGTGCCTTTTATCTTTTCTTTAACTAGACAGGAAAGTCTCCATTACTGAAGAAAATGAAGGCTTTTTTTAAAAGTCCAGATTCAGCTAATAAATATTTTATAACTGTTTCCTGCAAAAAATCTGAAATCCTTTCTGGAACTTGCAGTGTGAAACAACAGCCTCAGGAAAAATATCAATAGCTCCAGATCAGATCACTTTTAGATATGCCACCTTCAGAGTATGTCTTTAAATGGTTAGATTTATGTATTTGTGACGATCAATAACTTCTCCCCAAGAATCTGGATTATGGATTTGTATTGGAGGTGTAATAAAAGTTTATACTGCTAAAGCAAAGAATGCAGTGATGTACATCGCTATAGTTAATAATTTTCCCAGGCCAGTAGATACTCATTTATTATTTTAGTAAACTCCCTTCAAGACTGCTCTATAACCACATTGATATCTTCAATATTTAAAACAACCATTACCAAAACTCATCTATGTGGTAATAAAAAGCAATCTTATATAAAGCTGTGTTCTAACATTCTTTTGCATTAAAAAAAGTCTTATTTTTAGAAAGTCATAAAAATTTGTTATTGTTATAAACTAAATATAGGGTAATCAGCTAAACAGCACCCAGCACCCGTTAGTCCAGTATTAAATAAACCCACAGGGGACTGGCCAGGCCTGCCAAACTGCCCAGAAATCGATACTTACATGTACAGAAAATATTGTTAAGTAGCATGATCTTGGATTTGGCTTGTTGTTTGGCCACAGATAAGAAGTCTGAGTTGAAAAAATCACTTAGAATGAAACCACTTTAGAGCTAGGAGGGGTTTCAGAACTTTTGTAGTCTAATCCTCACTCAGTGAGAAACTGAAGTCCAGGGAGGTTAAGGTTAAGAAATCAACTTAAGACCACACAATAAGTTTTAGTGAGTTGCAGTCCCAGCCCAGTTCCCCTAACCCCAATCTAGTGTCCTTACCACTAAATGATCCTCCTCTGTGGCACATTGACTATACTGGAAGCCATATTTTGTTCTTCCTTCAGGTGCCCTCTGTGCCCTGCTCTCCTTTGGCAGCCCACCAACACCTGTGAGGGGCTGGGGATGTCTCTTTGGCATGCTCTCAGGGCAGCACCCCCCTGGGCCTGCCAGTGAAGAGATGTCAGGCCCACATGTGGACTCAGGAGAGGCTGTGTTCCTGCATGCAAGCTGTGCGTGCACACGCACCACCCATCTTGTCACTGAGATGGTGTAATTATGGTCTTCATAGAGTGAGGACAGAAATCCATGAATTAATGGAGACCATACCCTGAACACTTAAAGGAAGCAAATTCTGTAGGTGAAACCTTGGAACAGAAGGACAAGTAATGTGAGAGAGTTTTATCTGCACAAATCACTGCTGGGAATAGAGAGTTTTCAACATGTTTTGTGGGTGGCATGACTCTCTGGCAGTGATTCATGACTTGGGAGTACAGGGAATCCAGAGGAAGCAGCATCTTGAGTTGAAGCTACTAAAGACATCTGACAATCACAAGAGATGTCTGACTATTATTTGACACCCCAGGAAGCAAGCCTTTTCTACAGTAGAGCTATAGGTTTCATGAAAAGCATAATGTGATCTATACGACAAACTGCTTAGGGCTGAGGTGGTTGAGGGAAGTGCTGAGGTCTCAGGCGTGGCTTTCTTAGAATGGCTAGTTGAGTGGAAAGCCTCATTTGCAGAACCAAGAGGACTTAGTGACCTCATATAAACAGGGAAAAACTATGAATCGCTCAGGGTAGGAGGTGATTTATATATGAATTTAGAGTAGTTGCCCTTGTTTTAGTAAATAGTCCATAAGCAACTTATCCTGTCTCTTTAAGTATTCATTCATTACGTGTATGTCCAGACTTTAATTTGTGGTGTTAGATGTTAATACTAACTTCATGTTCCTGATAGCCTTGTGGGATCATCTTCCTGCTATCCCCTTGCACAGTGGGGGGAGAGGCCAGTGCTGCCTCCTCCTGGCCCTCCTGTTGCTGGAGGGAGAGCCCAGCCTGACTGTACAGGGTGTGGTGGATACTGTGCTCTTGAGAGAGAAGTCGGTTTTCTCTGGATAAGTGCTCCTCTGAGCTGGCTGCCGTGGCGCTGAATCATGAGCAGAAATGCCTCTTAGAGGTGGTTTTACAGGGGCATGCTTTTGTGACAACACTTTCCTCTCCAGAAGTAATGTGACAGGGAGAGAGAATGCATTCCAGATCAGAGCAGAGCCTTGTACTCACAGCAGCCAGGATGGACTCTAATTACCTCACCTTAGCCCAAGGGCACAGCTTTTCATCCCCTCAGGTCGACTTAGTTGTCCTAGGACATTAACAGGCAGCTTGGGTGGTTTCCATTCTCTCCTGCTCCAAGTGACAGGATGGTAGCCCATCTCTAAACATTTCTTTCTGCTTGTGGCAAGCTCCTAACCTGCCAGTGTGGGGGGTATTGTCAATACCGGTGCTGTTTTCCCAGATGCTTACTACTGGTGAAAGCTCTAGGTGCTCCTAACTAGACTTCTTTTGTCCACCCCCATCCTGACCCTTCCGTCTAGAATGGGTTTGGAAGCCCTGGTGGAGTCGTATGCATTCTGGCGACCTTCACTACGGACTCTCACCTTTGAAGATATCCCTGGAATTCCCAAGCAAGGTAACTCACAAAGTCTCCAGAGTCATATACACAGCCAGTTACTGCCTAGAAGCTCAAACAGTAAAAAATGCTCAAGTTGTTATTTACACTTAGAATGACAACCTCATCACCAACATCTTCCTACTAGAGAATCCATCTGTTTTCTGTATGGTATGAGGATGGACCAGGAAAAATGGCTGTGGTGGTCATGGGTTAAATCTTGGATGTTTTAGACTGTTTATATATTTCATGACCTTTACCTCCCCTTAAATCTTTTACTAAAAGTAGAGGTGGACTGGTGGGCTCTTGTGCCAGGTGCACTTCACAAGAAATTGCCGATACTGTCTTACCTTTCTTTCCAGCTTCTTTTCCTTCAGCAGAATTGCCTCTGGCTGGAGCTCTCCTGGTTGGTTTATGATGAGAAGGTCGGGCATACTTGGCAGACCTCCCGGGGCTCATCTGTGGATATTTCCCACAAGCCCAGGGCACATTTCTCCTGGGCTCATCTGTGGATATTTCCCACAAGTCCAGAGCACATTTCTCCTCGGGGGGAGCCAGATGGAAAGGGGTGGTGCCTCCTCTCTGGTCTGCTCAGTAGGCAGGACTCTCAGCTCACTCCTGTAGTCAGGCCTTTTACCAGGATCCTGCCCAGTTTCCAGTGAGAATTTCACTTGCTGGGTTTTAGATAACTATCATTTGGTTGGATTGGGCTTTTAGAATATTTTGAGATGCTATGTAAAATACCGTTGCTAGAGCAATAAAGGTTTTACAACCCGTCCAGCCTTTGGAATTCTCCTCTCCCCTTTAGTTCTGTCACTTTTGCAAACACCATCACTGTTATTGAGTGGACGCAGGGTTAGCCACCCTCTCTGAGTTTCACAGGATTGTTTATTTGCTAGACCTCTGCTCTTGTGTCAGCATGTGATTCACTAACCTGTTTCAAAAATGAAATTTTTGAAGTGCTAGATTATTGCCTTATTGCAGTAGCCAAGACCTGCATGTGTTCATTGAACACAAGCTTTCAGTGAGAAGCCGCAGGTATGGTGAGGCAGGGTGAGCCTTGGACCAGTTCAGCTCTTTCCTTGGAGTTACTTCTTTTTCCTTGCAAGAAAATGTATTGATCTGGAACATGCTTTGCTGAAAGAAAGGGTAAAAGGTGGGTAGAATAGAGGTGATGGTTACACTAACGGAACAAGATGCAGAGCAGGATGACATTTATATTTTATGAAATTGCTGGTAAATTCAGTATTTATAATATCTGTTATAGCAAATAAGAAAACTTTGAGAAAGCTAATTGAGAGAGGAAATGTGAGAATTCTAAGTGATAGAGTCCTATTATATTTTGCAATAAAAAGTACATCATTCCCTGGAGAGAATTTGCCTTAAAAATATTGAAAGGACCTATGTTTAAATTATTTCAGTCTGAATCCAGTTATAAATTCCTTTTCATCTTTGTAGCTTCTTTGCCATTTGTAACAAGCCATGTCCGCTCATATTTGCAAAATTGAAAGGAAAAAATGGCTGTGGAGTCATTCTTTACATTTCAACTTCTTTTGTAGGCAATGCAAGTTCCTCCGCCTTACTCCAAGGTTCTGGGAATGGCGTTCCTGCCACCCACCCTCACCTTTTGTCTGGCTCCTCTTGCTCCTCTCCTGCCTTCCACCTGGGGCCCAACACCAGTCAGCTGTGTGGTCTGGCCCCGGCTGACTACTCTGCCTGTGCCCGTTCAGGCCTCACCCTCAACCGATACAGCACATCCTTGGCTGAGACATACAACAGGCTCACCAACCAGACCAGCGAAACCTTCGCCCCACCGAGGACTCCCTCCTATGTGGGCGTGAGCGGCAGCACCTCTGTGAACATGTCCATGGGCGGCACTGATGGGGACACCTTCAGCTGCCCACAGACCAACTTGTCCATGCAGATTTCTGGGATGTCCCCTCAGCTCCAGTATATCATGCCTTCACCCTCCAGCAACGCCTTTGCTACTAACCAGACCCATCAGGGTTCCTATAACACTTTCAGGTTACACAGTCCCTGTGCCTTGTATGGATATAACTTCTCTACGTCCCCCAAACTGGCTGCCAGTCCTGAGAAAATTGTTTCTTCCCAAGGAAGTTTCTTGGGGTCCTCACCAAGTGGGACCATGACCGATCGGCAGATGTTGCCCCCTGTGGAAGGAGTGCACCTGCTTAGCAGTGGGGGGCAGCAGAGTTTCTTTGACTCTAGGACCCTAGGAAGCTTAACTCTGTCATCATCTCAAGTGTCAGCACATATGGTCTGATAAAGCCTTTAAGTTAAACTACATTTGAATCTGTGTAATGTATTTTCTTTCTCCTTTTTCTTTTTCTGTTTTTAAAAGCAATATGGAAAGAAACTATCTGTAGCTTGTAAAATGTACATATAATAGAATATGAAGGCTCACTGAGTTTTTTGACTTTCTCATGATGAGATTGTAATTATCTATGGTATATATGTATACTGTACATAAAAAGCATGTGAAATATTGCAGCCTCTATTCTTCCCCCCAGTTTGTCTAGTTGCACAGAGTATTGGCATACATATAGTATGTTTAACCAAAGTTCTCTGACTCTTTTAAAAACAGAATGGTAAACTTAAAACTTGGCAGTGATACTAACCAGATAAAGACTTATAACTTAATTTATCAGAAAAATGCTCTAAACAGTTTCATTCTTGAGTGTTGATAACCAGCAATTACCAGCATATACAGTCTTGTAATTTCTGTTATTCTTGGACACAGTGTGAGAACCTAAAATGCAAAAGCCAGTTGAAGTCTTAGTATTAGCTCTGAGGTATTTGTAATCATGAAGGATTAACTTTTGCATTCCTTTTGCTCTTATTTACCACAGATATTATATGACCTTGGGCCTGTAAAAACTCATAACCCGTAATAATTATTATTTTCTTAAGGTAAGTGGAGGAGAGGATTGTGATTTTTTTTCCCCACTTTTCACTGGGCATATAAAAGGTACTTACTCATCTGCAGAGAATAAATTTCCAGTATTTTGGATTATTTCTCATTTCCTTTAGTTTATCAAATAGACTGTTAAAGAGTGTCCTATAAACATTTTTAAATTCCAATTTTCACCAGGAAAGAAATACATGATATGAATGGAATGGCAAAAAGAAAATAAATCCACCTCTTTGACTCTTACAAAGGATGCCTATCTTTTTAAATCAAGAGGAATAATATTGTAAACTATCCCTTAGGTTTTTGTATAGTTTGGTTTTTCATTTAGGATATATTTTTTTTCCATCTTGCTTTGAGCTTCCTGACCTGTGGTCTGTATGTAAGGAAAAAGGCATTTATGCTACTTATTTATGTCTCATAACTCCTACAAATTGAAACCTTTCCCTCTCTGTAACCTTGTCCCTCTGTCTGAATCTTTCCCAAAACAGATAAGTCCTAGGCCTTTATGGTGTTAAATAACGCTGTAAGGAATTTCAGGGGGTTATCTCCAGCAATCTGTCTTTTGGGGGTTGTGGTGCAAAGGCCAAAGCCCATTACCTCTTGGAGGACTAAGGAGGAAGATACTAATTATGATAAAGGAACTATAAAACTTTTAACCTCAACAGCATTTTTAACCTCGAGAACCGGAGACATGAAAACAGCACTAATTTTTTCTTAAAATCCCTAAAATTTATACATGCCTTAAGAGTTCAAAACAAGTAACTTTGATAGCACATTATGAGATAAATAGAAAAGGCTAAGAACACATGAGGAGGAGCAGTTCTCTTCTGTTGAGAAGCTCAAATGAGGTATTGCCTGCTCATTGACTCATTACATTTCATGTATTTGCCAAGTGAAAAGAGCGGGATTTCATTTCATTGCTGAACAGAATTGTTCTAACTCATCCTGAGGGAAAGGGTATATAGCTCCTGATTTGCTTCTTTACTTTAAAGCAGCACGACTGTTAGATATTTTGGGGAATACATTGTTTGAACAGAATTTGCACAGGATATGACTCTGTTAATAGAAATTGACAAATTTCCTGGTGGATTCTGTAGCAATACATCCAATTCATATTGTTTTTTAAATTTAAAATTAGCCTGAAGGGACATGAAATATTTGCAATAGCTGTATCTATGTAAGGTGCTTGTGTATGGTATTAATAGTTTGGTAAAGATTTGGGAAAAGGCTTTGAGAATGAGTCCATGCCAGCTTTAGTGCTTGGTATAATTCAAGAAGAGTTTTCCATTTGGAGAAAACATGAAAAGTAATCTCTGTACCAAATGTATTAGTAAGGTGAGCATTTTCCTTTTTGCCTATTGTTAATTTGAGATGATACCACAATACTATTAGAATTAAATTTTTTTTTTTTTGGTAAAATTTAGTAATATTGTACAAATGCTGTTTCCCTTAGGTTTTAATTTAAATATTAATCACCATGTCACTTCAAAGACTAGCCTTTTATTGTTATATTAAATGACATACATACATTGATAATTATAATTATATATCTGTATTTTATTAAAAAGTGCTTAAGAAATTATATTAAAGTGTGTTGTTAAACCCTTTTATGATTTTGTAGGGTAATCATTTTAAGTGTCCATAAATACTGTTCTAAGAATAAGCACATGCACAAGTACCCCCAAAATAAATTACGTAGCTCTCAATTACAAGGCAGGGAGCAATGGGCCTGCTGTTCATTCTTCGTGTGTTAAATATAATTTCTTGGAGTGTTGACCATGTCATTGAAGGTGAAGGCCCTGACAAATGTTGAACACATGAACATGAGAGGAGAAGGGTGGAGTGGTATGTTTTGTTTCAAGTCTATGGGAGAAAGACAAGGATACAAGAATAAGCTGCTTGTACCACTGACCAGTGATGACAGATTACTTCTATGCCCCTTGACTAGGAAACATTCCAAGGGCCATCGTGATGGACTGAGGCTGCTGCTATCAAGACCAGTCACATTTCGAAAATTAACACTTGCTTCCATACAAGCTCCCTCCTGGAGGTCAACAGCTTTTCACAAGTGGGGCACACAGTTTCTGACCCCTGATTTCTGGAATGTAGGGGGTCAGGAGACCTTGGTGGCCCCCACAGGAGACCGGGGCACAGTGTATAGGAAAGGATCACACTCACTCTTTACATTAATTAGCAAGATGTTGAGCAAAAGGAACCTCCCCTTTAAAATACAAATAGCTTTCCATCACCTTCCCCAGATTAAACCTATCAGTAACTCACACAGTGTGAAATAGATAAACAGTGCTTTGGAGGTAGCTGGTTCGATTAGGGGGAAAAAAAGTAATTTTTGTAGCAGGGAGATTCTGGGAAGATTTGGATGGTAAAGAGAAGGTATAAGAAGAGAGATCCCTGACTAAATTCTACAGATTCCCATCAAGTCCTGGCGCAGAGCCATTAAAAATACTCACTTCGTGAGATTCTTTCCAGAGCCCCAGTAGAGTGGGTGGGTGTTACATTGATGCTCTCTCTAATTGGAGAGGTTGTTAAAGAATCCTTTATTTCAAAGTGTAACACGTTGTTAAGTTTCTTCATGGGGAATTTATTGGCTCATCTACATGAAGGTTTTCCTAAGCTTTCTGTTGGAAATTGAATAATTTTATTACATTATTATCATGTTGTGTTTTAATCTCACTGATTATCCTTTTTACAAATAAGTGCTCAGATAAATTGAGAGTGAGGTTAAATATGTGAGCATTAGGTAGATACACATGACTACAGCATTCTAGGAGCTCAAAGCTTAAAACTTAACATCAGTTAAGGAAGGAACAAATAATAAATATTCAAGTGTCGAAACATCCAGCAGATGTATAAATCTAACATCCCTCTACATGCTGATTTCAAATACTGTTTTCTTTTTATGGAATTTTCGTATGGTGAGAACATTATTCCCTTGGGAATTAGGGAACTTGTTTTCAAACCTGGATTTCTCAATCATGATTTTGGGCAAATATTTAACCACTTTAGGTCTCAGTTTTCTTATATGTGAAAAAAGTGGCTGAATGAGAATATTTACCATTTCTTTTAGTTTCAAATGTGTATGATCCTAATGTATAAACATTTAGCTTAACATTAGTAAACTAGTTTTATAAAATTATATATTTTGGAATATATACCTATTTTTGGATATATATCTACATCTTTACAAACATCACTACTAGGATTATTTTCAATTTATTGGATAACAATTTATCTTTGAAATGGAACTTCACTTTATTTAGTTACAATATATGTAATGGAAGTATTATAATATTTGAAGGAAGTTATACAAGGGTACTTCAAAAAGCTTGTGAAAAAATAGAATTAAAAGATAATTTGGGGCCGGCCCGGTGGCGCACTGGATAGTGCGCCGCTTGGGAAGCGCGGCGGCGCTCCCGTCCGAGGGTTCGGATCCCACGTGCAGACCGGCTCCCGCTCACTGGCTGAGCGAGGCGTGGGAGCAACGCCGAGGCTTGCGATCCCGTTGCCGGTCCCGGTCCGGGACGGGGGCCAAACTGAGCGGGG